ACACTATTCTCTGACCTTATCTCATTAGACCCCAATGGCATTATGAAGGCAGACATTAGAGATAAATTTCGGGAGGTCCATAGGGAATTTGATGAGGTCTTCAGTCCACAGTTTAGGGGCTATAATGGTGCTGCTGGCCCCTTCCAAGCAAGGGTAAACATGGGGCCTGTCCAGCCACCTCAGCGGAAGGGAAGGGTGCCGCAGTACTCCAGAGGCCAGCTGCAGGAACTGCACGCTCAGTTTGATGCGCTGGAGTCACTTGGTGTTTTTCGAAAGCCCGAGGACATTGATGTCGATGTGGAATATGTCAACCCATCGTTTCTTGTCAAAAAGCCTAACGGGGGGTTTCGTCTTGTTACAGCATTCGCCGATGTGGGCCGTTATAGCAAACCCCAACCGTCGCTGATGCCGAATGTTGATGCCACACTGCGTCTGATAGCTCAGTGGAGATATATCATTGCGACAGACCTCACCAAGGCATTCTACCAAATTCCACTTTCCAAATCTTCTTTGAAGTACTGTGGGGTGGTCACGCCAGTTAAAGGATGCCGTGGGTATGCCCGGCTCAGAAACCGCATTAGAGGAGTTAACCTGTCGCGTGCTTGGCGATCTTCTTCAACAGGGACAGGTGGCCAAGGTCGCTGATGACCTGTACTGTGGTGCCGATACCCTTGAGGATCTTCTTGCAGTGTGGAAAAAGGTCTTAGTGGCCCTCCAGGCATGCAAAATGCTTATCTCCCAGTAAGACGATCGTTGCCCCAGTCCAGACCAACATTTTGGGGTGGGTATAGAATCAGGGTACTATTCGTGCCAGTTCGCACCGCATTTCAACATTGGCCTCGTGCACCCCTCCTGCAACTGTTAGAGGTCTGCGGTCCTTTATTGGTGCATACAAAGTCCTAGCTCGTGTCCTTAAGGGTTGTGCGTCGATCTTTGCCCCCTTCGACAACATGGTCGCTGGTGGTGAGTCGACTGATGCGGTTGTGTGGTCAGATGAGCTCCTCCAGTGTTTTCATAGGGCTCAGCAGGCATTATCTACTAGTTGCGCTGTAACAATACCACGACCTGATGATCAACTTTGGATTGTCA